TCCCTCTGCCTCTGCCTCTCTCTCTCTCTCATGAATAAATAAAATCTTAAAAAAAAAAAAAAACATATATACCATCTAGCCTGGTAACTCCACGTCTGGGAATTTGTCCTAATAAAATATGCATGGAAGGTCAAAGACTTCTCTATGAGGAGTCTCGCAGATGCTAGTCATATCTAAAATTTGTAAATTACCAAATGCCTGAGAATTATTAAATAAACTATGGCACAATACAATGAAAGTCATGAAAAATTATGCAGAAGAACGTTTAATGACAGAAAAACTCATGATATGACATTACCTGAAAGAAGCAGATTACAACACTTATATTATAGTACAATACAAAGAAAAAGATTTAAATATATTCACTAAAATGTCAATAGTACTTATCTCTACAGTGTGGGATTATGAGTGAATTATTTTCTATTCTTGCTTGTCATATTTTCTAAAAAGAGTATGTTCAAGAATAATGAAAATAAAATGACAGACTCTCAGTCATTTTATCATTTCAGTTTATTCACATGACATAACGGAGGAATAGTGGATGAATGTCCATCACTGTTCCTTCATACTGTAAGTATCCTATTTATGGGTCTTTCGCCCCCACTAAATGTAAGCTCATCTTTCATTCCTAATACACTCAACAAACTCTCATTGAGAACCTACATGTGCGGGGCATTGTGATAGACACTGGGGATACAGTGATGAACAAGATAGACAGACATGGCCCTTGCCCTCAAAGGGAATAAAGATAATTGGGAAAACAGACATTAAAGTAACTATAAGTGTGATGAGTATTATAAAACAAAAAGAATTGGGGTAACTAATCCATCTAGGGAATCAGGGAAGGCCTCCCTGAGCAAGCAACTTCTACTGTTTCCTAATTAAGAAGATAAAGATGGCATGGATAACTCAGGAATTCTAAAAATACAAAATTCACGAAAGTGGAATTAGCACGTGTTTAGGGAAAGAAGTTATATGCCTGGTGAAAAGGTTAAATTGTTTTTAGAGACCATGAAGTAACATGTGTCAAAAGTCCCCCAAATTTTCATATGTTTTAATATTTCTATAAATTTATCCTAAGGAAACAATTACAGATACCCCAAAATAAATTTATGTATACGATAAGCATAGCATTACCTATAATAGCAAAAAATAAAATAAGAAACCAAAAATGGTTAACCTATCCATACTATGCAAAATTATTTAGTCATTAAAAATCATATTTAGAGGTGCCTGGGTGGCTCAGCTGGTTAAGTGGCTGCCTCTTGATTTCAGCTCAGGCCATGATCTCAGGGTCATGAGATCAAACCCCACATCAGGCTCTGAGCTCAGTGGAGAGTCTGCTTGAGATTCTCTCTCTTCTTCTTCCTCTGCCTCACCCCCCCCAAATTAAAAGAAAATCATATTTAGGGGGTGCCTAGGTGGCTCAGTTGGTAAAGCATTCAACTCTTGATTTTGGCTCAGGTCATGATCTCAGGGTCGTGAGAACAAGCCCCATGTTGCGCTCCAGGCTGTGGGTGTGGAGCCTACTTAAGATTCTCTCTCTCCCTCTCCCTCTGCCCCAAGTCCCAATCTAAAAAAAAAAAAATCATATTTAGAAAGATAACAATGTGAATATATGCAATGATTAAAAAAGCAAGATACAAGGGCGCCTGGGTGGCTCAGTCGGTTAAGCGACTGCCTTCGGCTCGGGTCATGATCCCAGGGTCCTGGGATCGAGTCCCGCATCGGGCTCCCTGCTC